CAGAGGCTGTTTTACACACCCTAGCACAGAGCCTGCGTGCCATGGGGGTTAGCCACTCTGCGGCTCTGCCTCACCACACCCAGTCATACACACACACACACACCACTCTCTTGCACACACTCTGATCTGTCTCTCACACCCCTCTCATATCTGTCACACACACATACACATCTCTCACGTCTCTCACATACATATCTCTGTCCCACACGTCTCACACAACACATCTCTCTCCCTCACACACGCCTCTCACACACATCTCTTTCTCACATGCATGTGCACACGTCTCATCTCGCACACGGGCACACACGTCTCTCACAACACCCACAGATCTCTCTCAGACATACACCTCTCTATCTCTCGCTCTCACACATGAACACACACACATGCACACGCTCCCCACATGCCGCTCCCAAGGTGACTCGGGCTCCGTGCTGCATCGTGCCCTGCGCGGCTGCCGGCCTTGTTATGCAGGTGCTGGGTGCAGGTGATGCTGTGCACACCCGCGGCTTGGCGCAGCGTGACTCAGCCTGGCGTGGCGTGGCACTGCAGGGTGCCCCTAGTCCCGGCACAGGCTCCTACCCAGGACAGGCCCCCCGGTCGTGCCCCTCAGCCACAGGCAATGCATCGTTCCCCAAGCCGGGCTGGCTCCCAGCCCCGGGGCCACGACCCGCGTCCCACCCCTGGCACTGGCTGGCATGAGCGCTCCATGAATGGCAGCCTCTGTGCCCCCGTCACTGGCTAAGCCCAGATACCAGGCCTGCTCCCTGCAGCTGTGGGGCTCCCGGGCCGGGAGAGCACCTGCTCAAGCCCAAGTGTCTGTAACCTCTGGGCACCAGGGTCCGCACACCGGGGAGGGCAGCTGGACCCTGCGCAGCCAGGCAGTCCCCTCCCCTGCCCTGCACCTGCCAAGCCCACGGCGGGCACCACGCTCAGCCCCCACCACAGCACACAAGGCACAGGTCTCCCCATGTGCCCACGTGGGCACAGCCAGCCCTGTGCAAGCCCGTGTGTGTGTATGAGAGAGAGGGGTGGGGGTCACATCCATCTCTTTGCAAGCCTCTGTGTGCATGTGTGTGCGTGTGTGCGTTTGTGCATATACATACAAAGGGATTGCTGTGCCCCTCTATCACTCACATGTGCGCACGCACACACATACAGAGGCTTGCAAAGGGACGGATGTGACCCTCACTCACAGATGCATACACAGACATGCTTGCACAGGGATGGACTTGCCGCTCTCTCTCTCTTTCTCACACAGGCACACATCATAGAGCAGCGGGGCTGGAAGGGACCTCCAGAAGTCACATCTGGGCCTGAGGTAGGATCATCCCTATCCAAACCATCCCAGACAAAACCATAATCTCTCACACGTGTGCACGCGCACACACATGCGCGCGCACACACACTGAGCACCCCTCCTCTCTTCTCCCTTGTTTTGGAGCCGGCACGGCCACCCTGCCCCCTCCCCACCAGTCTACCCAAGGCTTTGCCCACGGTGCAGGGACTGCAGCCTGCAAACCCCCCCCCGGGCTTTGCACCCACTAGTCGGAGTGACCGTGCCAGCACCGAGCTGCAGGCAGGCCAAGTGCTTGGAGATTTCATCCTGTGGAGCGGGAGGGAGGTTGCAGCCAGGGCCCAGCTACCTAGGGTGCTTGGCAGCGGCTCCCTTGAAGGCCACGAGGTCTGAGCCCAGCATGGCTGGCAACATCTCCCTAGGACAGCAGAGTGGGGCAGTTACAGCTGGGAACTTGAGAGCAGCTAAGTGACATGACCAGGGCCACGCAAGGCCCCTGTGGCAGAGCAGGAAGCATCCCGGTCAGACAACAAAGCCCTCGGGCTGGCTCTCAGAGACCTGGCAGCACCGAGGGCTGGGGGCTGAGCCCTTGGCTACTCCAGCAGCCGGGACAGGTTGCTGAGCTCGGCCTGGGGAGCTGTGGACCTGAACCTGCAGCCTGCTCTGCAGGCAAAGCCACCCTAGCTGTGGAGGGGAGATGCCTCCTGCCCTCCCCGTGGCTCCTCCACTTCCCACGGGTGCGTCTGAGGCACCTGGGCCAGGCTCCACAGACGTCCGCAGGCGCAGGCCATGGACTGATCACAGACTCATGGACGGGGGTTGGCAGGGACCTCAGGAGGTCACATCTAGTCCACCCCCTGCTCCAAGAAGGACCAGCCCCATCTCCATCATCCCAGCCAAGGCTTTGTCTAGCCAGGGCTTAAACACCTCCAAGGATGGAGAGTCCCCCAACTCTCTGGGTAACCCTTCCAGTGACCCTCCTCATGAGAGTTTTTCCTAATATCCAGCCTCAACTTCCCTTGCTGCAGCTTGAGCCCATTGCTCCTTGTCCTGCCATCTGCCCCCACTGAGACCAGCCCAGCTCCATCCTCTTTGCAGCCCCCCTGCAGGGAGGTGACGGCTGCTATTCAATCCCCCTCGGTCTTCTCTTCTCCAGACTCAATCAGCCCATTTCCCCCAGCCTCTCCTCACCAGTCCTGTCCCCCAGCCCCACAACCATTTTCCTTGCCCTCCACTGAACTCTCTCCAACGTGTCCACATCCTTTCTGTAGTGGGAGGTCCACAGCTGGACACGGGATCCAGATGTGGCCTCCCCAGTGCCGAATACAGGGGAGGAATCACTGCCCTCGATCTGCTGGCATCACTCCTGCCAATGCAGCCCCAGATGTTGGTCGCCTTCTTGGCACCAAGGGCACAAGGATGCTGGGAGGGAGCCTGGCTTTTGGCACCACAGAACAGAAAGCGCCGTCCTTGCAGGCACAGGACGAGCCTCTCGGCCTCCCCCAGAGCCTCCCCTGCGGCCCGGGGACGTCCAAGGCCCAGTCTGATGTCAGCCAGGGATTGCCCAAAGCAGGGACTAGCCGGAGCAAAACAAGCCCCAGCCTCCCCCTCGCAGGTTGCGGTTTCAGGTGAGGCACGGAGCAAGGCACAGCAAGCCCAGCTCAGCACCCCCGCCCCGCGCCTCCCACCCCGAAGCGCCCACCCGAGGGTGAAGCACTCCTGAAACAGCAACCCCCAAGCACACTGCTTACCTGGCAAACAGGCTTCCCTTCCCCAGCGTGCTCTGCCAGCCCGGCTCAAGGCCCGCTGGCTTTATACCAGCAGGGCTGGCAGCCTGGGAGGGGCCCGTCTCCATCAGCTGACTGGCAGTCACCGGCCGGGAATGCAGGAGGCCGGCAGGTGACAGGTGACGGGAGGGAGCTCGGCCTGGCGAGAGGTACCAGGAGGGGGCCTGGGACCTGCCCCGAGCCAGGGGCGCACCAGGCGCTCTGCTCAGGGGATGGAGCAGGTCTGGTCCGGAGAGGAGCTACTTGGAAGGGCTGTTGCTGCTACCTGCAGCCCACTGCCAGGTCTCTAATGCTGCAGCCGGGCCCTTCTCCCCGAGCCGGCTGCAAAGGGGAGCACAAGCCCCCGCCAGCCACGGCGCTCGCCGGGCTCCAGCCACGGCCGGCGGGTGCTTTTGCGGCCACCGCGCGGTGATGTCACGCTCCCCACGGCGGGGACGTGCCGTCCCGGCAGCTCAGCTGTGATGCTTGCCGTTGCCATGGCACCGGCCTCCTCCATGCATGCGACACGCGCGCGGCGTGGGCAGCACGCCCACGTCAGAGCCGCGGGGATGGTGACTCAGGGACGCCTGAGTCAGCAGCAGGGCTGGGCCCGGATCCCGGATGCTTTGGTGGGGCCAGGGCATGGGTCCGAGCAGGTGCACGACACCCTGGCATGCAGCGCTGCTCAGGCCCCTCCACCCCGGCGCCGTGCCCGCTGCGATGCCAGGGCAGGAGGGGAGTGCGGGCAATGGGGCAGCCCCGTCTATTCTTAGCAGCCAGGAGGAGGAAGAGGAAGCAGCTCCCGAAACTGGCAACCGAGCGACCTTTGCCCTCTGTGGCAGGCAAGGCCCGATGGCACCGCGCGCAGAAGGTGCCCAGGCTCCAGCCGCAGCAAGGCCCCCAGGCGAGACCCCGGCGCGGATGCTCCCCCGACAGGGTTACCCCCATCCCCGGAGCATCATGCACCAGTGCCTCAAACACGGCGGTGTCCTCAACCGCTCCACGCAGAGCTGGGCGCAGTCCAGACCCGCCTCCCCGCCGAAACTACCAGCAGCCCCACCCTGCCCCGGGGGAGCGGAGAAACCGGTTGCTCCGATTGCAAAATGCTGCGGCGGAGACCGAGAGAGATGACGCAGGAGGCAGGAGGGGCCAAGGTCCGGGGAAGCCTGGATGCGTCTCTGGGGCACCCCCGGCTGGGGCAGGAGGTGGATCCTTGCGGGGGAAAAGCACCTGGGAGGAGCTGGCAGGTGGCAGGCACCCACCTGAGCATCTCTGCACGCCAATGACAGCCAGGGTGCAACACCGCCCCCAGGGTCTCATTGGCTGAGGGAGCTGCCAATCAGCCCGCCCCTGGTGCAGGCATCCAGGTGAGCTCACCTGTGCAGAATGCAGCCGGTCGCTGCCTGAGCGCTCGGTATTTCCCTGTTGATGGCGTTGCCAAAGCAGAGGGGACCTTAGCAATCGTCGCACCCGACGCTGAGCACGCAGGCCCTGCGTGGCCGCCTCTGCAGCTCCGCCTGGGATCCGGAGCCAGAAGCAGAGCGGGTGCCAGGGGCGAGGGCAGCAGCACGGCAGAGATTGCATGGCAAAGTGCTCAAAGGCAGCGCTTCCAGGTGGGCAGTGGGTAGGAGCTGACCCCAGGCACCTGCAATGCTGCTTCCACCCCAGGCAGGGCACAGGTGACACAGCCGACTGCTGCTGGCAGAAGGTGGGGTCTTTTGGGGAGCAAAAGCCCCCCCACCCATCCCCTCCGCTCCCACACATGCAGCAGTGGCCGGGAGTAAACCTGACAGGCGCTCGCCACGGTGCCACCCACACCCGTGGGTGGCGAGCGATGACTCACATGGCATTTTAAAGCTGAAACAAAAAGCCCCTCGGCTGCGAGCCGGTCCCGTGGGCATCAAGGCCGTGGCAGGTGGTGTGGGGGGAGCACGAGACCGGGGCACTTGCACTGCCCCACAGGCCAACAGCTGGTTCGCCATCACTGCACATCCCTTGGCAGGAGGAGATGGGGGCTGACCAGCTTCTTTTGCCCAGACCCACTACCCCCAAGCCCAGATGTAACCTTAGCCGCCCTCCTGCACAGGCAAGTCAGCCCGGGATCAGCTCCCATCGCAGAGCAAACCCAGGCCCCAGCCCAGCTCCACGCACACGAAAAATTTCTGTGCCAGTGACAAGCTCCACGGTCCCCCTCCGGCCCTGCTGACCCATGCGGGGAGACAGCACGGAGGATCCAGGCAAGCTGGGGAGAGGCAAAGGGGACAAAGGAAAAAGCCCGGCACAGCCCGCACCCCCAGGAGGATCGCAGCACCGCCAGCTCCTTAGGGCTCGACCCCTCGCACCTGGGACGTGAGGCCTGGTGGGCCTCACTCTGGGAAATGCAGCTGCCATCTCCTTCCCCAGCTGGGAGCCAAGTACAGGGGGAGCCTCCACCTCTCCCTACCCCCCGACTCCAGTTTCCAGCTGGGTCACAGCAGAGGCCCCAGCACCTGCCCTGCAACCCTGCTCATCCTGCAGGCACGGCCTCGCTCCCTGCCCAGCTCTCCCAAAGCAAACAGCAGCCTTGCCAGACCCCCACAGCACGCCCAGCCAGGGGAAGTTTCTGCCCAGGCATCGGGGTGCTGGTTTAGGGCAGTGCAACGACAGCCGGAGGGACAGGCAGTCTCTGAGCACAACTGGGATGAACCCAGACTCTTGCTAAGGGAGACCAGGCAGGCCGCCCCCTCCAGAAGCCTGTAGGCCCCAAGGGCCGGTCCCCAGACTGGCAGCCCTGGGCAGTGTGCCATGGGCACAGCCGCAGAGAGGCGAGTGACAAACCTGCGAGAGGCAGCGTTGAGAAAAGCCAGCATAAAGCACTTTTATTGCAATCATAAAACTCAATACTCTGATGTGGCGGTGGAGGAGGAAGCGATGGCAGCCATTCCTCTTACCAAATCACGACGCGGGGCAGAGGGAAGGGAAGGGAGCCGAGGTGGAGGTGGAGCCGTGCACCGAACGGGAGGCCGCGGCACGCGGTGATGACCAGCATCAGGTTTGGCGCGGGAGTGCTGGGGTCTCGTCATCCCGGCGACGGCTGAGGCGCCAGCTTTCTGCCGCGGGCTCGTTCCTATCGGTGCCCCCCCAGGAAACGGCCCCTTCCATCCACGTACAAAAGGCCCCTTGCGATGCTGCAGCCTATGTAGTGGTGGAGCACGGATGGCGAAAGGAAAAGAGACCCTCAAAATCCAGGAGGAGGAAGCAGGGGGGAGGAAAACAACCACATGCTGGTAAAGGCAGCAGGCAGCAAAGGGGGCAGGATACTGCCCGCTCTGGGCACCGCCAAGGGGAAAGTGCTGGCATGGTGGCACCACCCTGCCGGGAAGGGAGCAGGAAGCTACTTGTTCCCGTGTTCAGTCCCAGGCAGGGAAGTAACACCGCCAGCCAAGGACCCCTTTGCTCCCCAGAGTCAGTCAGCCCTTGACAGCTCCTCGCTCTGCTATGGCTTTTGCAACGGCAGCGGCAATCTCTTTGTCATACACAACAGATATCTGCATCCAAAAAAAACAAAAAAAAAACCAGAACAAAACCAGCTCCCGGCATTTCCTTCGCTCCAACGATCCCTAGCACAGGTCACCCCAGGGCGCACTAAAGCCCGCAACACAACCAGATGAAGAGCTCGCCCGAAAGGGAAAAAAAACAAAACAAAAAAAACAATAGAAAACCCCCTAAAAGTTGAGGTTTACGGCGTATAGTTTAAAAGACATAAAAACACAATACAAGGAGGAAGAGTCAGAGGCAAAGCTGAGTGACCAAACACATTCAATCAAGGTACAGGGTTATACAACGAGTGTAGTGGAATATCAGGAAAAGCTCCGTACAAAGTCATGTGCATTCTTCTTGAAGCTGAGATTCTGGATTCCTCCATGTGCCAAACCTGGGAGAGAAGGGGGGGGGGGGGGGGGGGGGGGGGGGGGGAGCTTCAG